GCTACGCGCTTAGCCGCCTCTTGACCGAAGGCAAATTTTGCTTTTTCAGCCGCTTTGCGCTCGGATTCAAGCTTTTTCTCCGTGTCGGCCCTCTCCTTCTTAATCTGCTTCACCGCTTGGTTCAGCAGCCTATTTTTCTTGGCATTATCGGCACGAAGCTTCGCCAAGTCTTCAGCAGACGCTCGCATCGCGGCGTCTAGCTCGGCATTCTTCTGCCTCTCAGCCTCAAGGGTTTCCTTCACGGCTTCGACTTCGGTATGATCCGATAGACACCTTTTGGCATCACAGTCATACTCGCATAGTATCGTCAATGCGGTACTAAGAGCCTGCATTCATAAATTTCACTATTAAAACCAAAATAATCCTTAAAAAAAAAAAAAAAAAAAGAGAGCAGTCGGAGAAATTTACCCTAGCCTGGTCTTTAGCAAAACGCGCGATCGCTTTGCTGCGAACGAAGCTCCGAGGGTCCGTCGCAGGAAGGTCCGGATGGTCCCTCAACCGGAGAAAATAATCAAGACAGGATTCGGGATCGTTCACCAATGGGCTATTTCCTCGATAGTCGTAGGAAAACCCAAACCGATGAAGTTGCCGATCGATCCGAGGTCTCTTCGACCGTTGCGAATCCTCGGGTATGTCACCCATATTCTGCCCATCTTCACCTGCATGCTCTTCTAGATCGGCCTTCTTCCTGGCCTTTTCTGCCTTCCTGGCCTTCTCTGCCTTCCTGGCAGCTTTTTTATCGGCTGACTTCTTTGCCTTGGCCAAATCTCTCTCCCTCTTGTCGGCAGCCGCTTTGGCCTTGGCCGGATCATCCTCTGATACGATCGGATTCCCGTGCTCTTCCAGAGACCCTGCCGACGCAGGATTTTGGGCATCCTTAGCACCCGGGGATTCAAACAACGACTCCAGGTCGGCAGATAAATCTTTGAGTGGGCAAGATTTCATCTTGTCAGTTCGGTTCTGGTGTCTAAGAAGAGCAACTGCAATTAAAGAGGTGTCAGCCGACCTTATCCCTAGAAACTCAAACATAAGTGAAACGATTTGTACTAAACTCTTGTCCTCTCGATCCTCTCTTCCGTAATCTCCGGCCAGGTGATTGCGCTGATCGCCGCAAACCGTTCAGAAATCTCGTAAATATCGAGGGGATCGTCAACAAAGGGAAGATGCCTATTGCCTGCAAAATTAAAGATACCAATCAGATAAGTTCGCAACATGTTCTTAAACAATACTTCGGGTCGGACGTGTCTCTACCCATGACCTCTGCCCATCTCGTTCGAATCTCGATGTCTCGATCGATGATGGAGTGCTCGTTTATCAGCACAAAGAAATAACGTTCCCTCCAATCGTTGACCTTCGATTTATGGCCACATGTGACTATGTTGAACCGGGTCTTCATGCTCGTATAGTATGATCCTCGGTTCCTCAATTTTTCCTTTGTCCTCCTCGTATCTGTCATCGCGTCAAACGCAGCTCGGCTAAGAGGGATATTATGCCTGGTCGACATCACCAGCATACTGACGATCAGACGGATTGTCGAGTGAGAAAATTGCGAGATCGGCATCTCCTTGTGATCGTCAAATTCCAACAACAACCTTGGAAGAGGGAACCAGAGATGGAAATCCCTGAAAAAGCATTCGTAGACGCAGAACCATCCCTCCAGAGCATCCCATGGCCGCTCTGACGGGCTCGGTATCATGAAGATGACTTCAGGGCCGATGTCACATTCTTCCTTCAGTGTCACCAAAGACTCCATAGTCGATTTTGTTGGCATTACTCCGAGGAGGTTATCACAAACCGGCTTCGGAGCTGGCTCGCCCTTCTTCCTTTTGACCTTTTTAACAAGAGGATTCAAATCGACAATCCCGAACTGATTCGCTTCATCTTCGGCAATGAGCGTATTCAGTTCGTTGGAGATGTCCATCTCGTTCGATCCACCCCTCTCGTCTGACTCATCTCGCAGTTCGGGGATCAGAAACGGTTTCCTCGTCGATGCCTCACCGCTCCTCAAAACAGCACCGACATGACCCGCATGGAAACGCTCGGCTGCTGCCCTCTGGTTTTCCTCTCTGACTCGCTCCTGGAAAGCCCGATCTAACGCGGACAATTCGCTAGCATCAGAGGACCAATCTGACGCCATATCGTTCGCAATCTCTTTTCCCTTTGATCGGCCTCTCGCGGCCTAGTCGTCTTTTTCCATCTGAAGAAATTCCTCCGGAGAGACGCCGATCTCATCAGCTTTCCCTCTAATCGACCTTACTTCCTTTGACTCTGATCGTCCCTCTTTGATACTCAAACACTTGCTCATCACTTCAGATGGTGGTTTTCGTAAATCGGAGAAATCAAACGGTGGAGAACTAACGAAACGCGGCGGAGGTCTGATCGGAGAATTTCTAGCTAAAATAAAAGAAGAACAAAGAAGAGAGAGAAGAGAGCAAACCTGATTTTGACAGAGTTTCGCTAGAAATATAGAAGTGAAGAAATGGGAGCCGAGTCCCTCTTATTTATAGGAAGGTTTGGACGGTTATCAAGAGTCATCATGAGCTTGACGACCTTTCGTATTTCTTATATATTTTTAATCGGTCTCTTCGCCTTCTCCTGCTAGGGTTTGACACGTGTCAACCCTAGTTCTGCATACGCGGACCTGGGCCTAGCCTACATCATCTTTTGGGTGGGAATTTTTTGCGCCTAGAATCACAATGTGGCCCTCATCGCCACGCCGATCAGAAATTCCAGGTAATAATTCCATTTTTATTCTAACTCCTTTTTACAGCCGACCAGAATGCATACCAATCAACATATCATGAAGTTCACCAAGTAACGTTCCTTCACTTGCCAAACTGGGGGTGGGGACTTACTGTTAGAGATGAGATCTGTACCATCTCTAACAAGCCCGATATGAATTCTGGTCGGTCCGTCTAACAAGATTCAGGTCGGCGACATAAAAGGAAACCTTCCATTTATCGAGTTTCCCGGGAAAAAGGAAACTCCTTCTTGCCGACAAGAAGAGTTTCCTATTCCAAACAGGTTGAAGACCGACCTGATCAGCTATAAATATGGGATCTCCTCGACTTCTCAGATCATCCAAAAACTACTCCTCGAGACCTAAGGCAGATTAAGCAATCTAATCGTTCTTAGTTCTTGATTTTACTTCTCATAAAGGTTTAGGTCGGTGTTCTTGTTCTGACGATCTAAACACTGTTGTATTCTATCAAGCTCCGGCTTTTTCTAATAAAAGATCTCTTCTTAAATCCTCAAACCCTAGTTCTTCTATAAGTCGAACTTGAGTTTTTACATTTATTTTACATAAAACATTATAAATTTTATCTTTAACTTAAAATATTATGGTTAATATTTTTGAAAACAAAAAATTTAAGAGGATATTAATACAACTTTACTTATCTGACTAAAGATCATAGTAAGATGTAGATTCAAAATAAATATAAATAAATCAAGTTAAAGTCTTTTTCTTTAAAAATAAGTTAAATTTCCTAAAAACAATGGTAAATTTTATTCTTCTCCCAAGTTTTGGATGATGAAAAGTGCTACATATGCATATACAGTATATAAGTTACACTTAAGCTTGACTTTTACTGATTTTGTAGCTTAAAATAAAAGTAAAGTATGCTAAGATAAATCACTTCGTGCGTGAACATGAAAACGAAACTTTATTCTCTAAGTAGTTAAGCAAAAAAAAAAACTATATTCTTTAAGTACAGTCTTGAATAAAAAGGATGTTCAATGTCAAGATGAACACAACAATAGAATCGAGTTATGTGAGAAATAAATAGATGTTGTTTCGGTTAACATCGAAGCTTAGTTGGTAAAATACATTGTCTTCACCTTTTGACTAAGTAAATCTGATAGATATCAACATAGTTCAAAACTAAAAAAAGTTATCAACTCAAATACAATGTTTTTTTTCTTCGTAGAACTATATTCATTTCCGGTAACTAGTGGCACCGGCAACAACATACTTACTGTGCATCCAGGAGTGAAACATTAAACTCAATGACCATATATCAACTCTGAGCACATAGAAAAAAAAACTTCTTCCATCTAATAATTTTGTGGCTAGCCCGAAATTGGAGACACGTGAATGCTTTTGAACACAAGTTTTCCCTTTTAAGAAAAACCTCTAATGCTCCGTTTGACTGAATTTGAATGATTCTGATATAAACTTTTTTTTGGTTAAAGCATAAACTTTCTTTCTTTTCTTTGCTGATTTCTTTTATGGACCCAATAAAAGACCATAAAAACTATTACAAGAAAAAATACTAGTTAATAGAAGTAGAAGAAAATCAAAAACAAAACTATTAAAATAGAAGAAAAACAACAAAGTTGGGAAGAAACGCGTTGAGGAAATATGGTGAGATGGTAAGGTGACATGGCTATGGCCTAACCCCACATGCAAAACCCTCTTATCGTGCCATGTTGACCTTCTCTTCGGGTCCTACCTTGTCCCCTTCACCTTCAACATCCCTCCTTTATTGTTGCCTCATTTCTTGTGTTCTCCTCTCTTTTTTTTTATTCTATTAGTGTTTTAATGTATTATTATTTTATCTCCACAACAAAATTCCAAACCATTGTCTTTCCAGTCTCCTTCCTGTCAAAAGCCCGATTTTTATTGTTAATAATTATATATATATATATATATTTGTTTCAGTATGTATCCACATCTATAACACTTGAGTTTTCAAGTAACAACTTTTTCATTTACCATAAAAATTAGTCCACTTACCAGAAAAGTCATAACTTCTTTTGCTCTTTGCAGTTTCTGTTTAACCGTGGTTTCTTTTTGAAGATTCAATCCTATCAATTTTCAAACGTAAATTATTAGAATCACAATTAAAACGTGAAGATTCGTGTCTTAGAGGAGCGCATGCAATATCTTAATTAAGCTTTATTTGAGGTTATTGTCCAAACGTTTGTGTTTGACCGTGTGACGTGGCACTTTAGAAGCAGCTTATTCACCTTCCTCTATATAAATACACCCAACAGTTCGTCAATCCCAAAACACATCCCAAAGTACAACAAACACAAACTTCTTCTTTGTCTCTCTACCTCAATTCCTCTCTCCTGATTTCGTTTTTTCTCTCCAAACAACAAGAAAAACTTACAATATGGCCGTAGACTCGAGTCTCTCTTCGCCGTTAGGACCTCCGGTATGTGAAAAAGACGCAAAAGCCCTCCGTTTCATCGAGGAAATGACGCGAAACGCAGACGCGGTTCAAGAAAACCTCCTGGCGGAGATCTTGAGACGCAACGCTGAAACCGAGTACCTCCGCCGCTTCAACCTCGGTGGTGCCACCGACCGTGATATCTTCAAATCGAAGATTCCGATTATCACCTACGAAGATCTCCAGCCGGAGATTCAACGCATTGCTGACGGAGATTCCTCTCCCATCTTATCCGCCCATCCCATCTCCGAGTTCCTCACCAGGTTCCTTCACCATTCTTTGCTCCTTTTTTTTCTTTTCTTTTTTTGAGTTGAATGTAAATTTATTTAAACAAAAAAACTGTTGTTTTTCTTTTAACTTTCAAGAAAGTACAATTTATTTTATGAACTGGGTTCAATCTGACATTATAATTTTTCCAGCTCGGGAACCTCAGCTGGAGAGAGGAAGCTCATGCCCACCATTAGAGAAGAGCTCGACCGTCGTCAGCTTCTTTATAGTCTCCTCATGCCTGTCATGAATTTGTAAGTCCTTCAAAATGATAAAACTCTTTACAACACACTTTCTGTGGTGACTCAAATTAAACCCAGAGAAACTTTAACTTTTTACAAAGAAATTAGTCTTGAGTTTTTGTTCAAGATAGTTAAAAAATAAAACATCTAGGACTTGAATTTAACATTTCTTCAACCAAAAATAGACAACAAAAAACTTGTATAAACAAAAAACTCGGCGACCTATGAGTTTGTTAAATCAATTATTTATTATTAGTTCAAGCGTTGACAGTTTTCTCTATTTTTCCGGAACAGGTATGTGCCAGGGTTAGACAAAGGAAAGGGATTGTACTTCTTGTTCGTTAAGTCAGAAACAAAGACACCAGGTGGACTACCCGCTCGACCGGTCCTAACCAGCTACTACAAGAGTGATCACTTCAGGTCCCGACCGTACGACCCATATAACGTCTACACAAGTCCCAACGAAGCCATTCTCTGTCCCGACTCCTTCCAAAGCATGTACACTCAGATGCTTTGTGGCCTCCTTGACCGCCTTTCTGTTCTCCGTGTGGGCGCGGTTTTTGCCTCCGGTCTCCTCCGAGCCATCCGCTTCCTCCAGCTCCATTGGTCTAGATTCGCTGATGACATCGAGTCAGGTTCTCTTAACTCAGAGATAACTGACCTCTCTATAAGACAGTGTATGTCTTATATTCTCAAACCGGACCCTCACCTGGCAAAGTTCATCCGCCAGGAGTGTGAGTCCGAAAACTGGGAACGAATCATCACCCGAATATGGCCCAACACTAAGTACCTTGATGTCATTGTGACCGGAGCCATGGCTCAATATATCCCAACATTGGAATACTATAGTGGTGGTCTTCCTATGGCTTGCACCATGTACGCCTCCTCCGAGTGTTACTTTGGTTTGAATCTTAACCCAATGAGCAAACCATCCGAAGTTTCATACACCATTATGCCCAACATGGCTTACTTCGAGTTCATCCCTCTTGGCGGTTCCAAGGCTGTTGAACTCGTTGATGTAAAGATCAGTAAAGAGTACGAACTCGTTGTCACCACCTATGCCGGTCTATGTCGATACCGAGTTGGTGACATTCTTAGAGTCACAGGGTTTCATAACTCAGCACCTCAGTTTCACTTCGTGAGGAGGAAAAACGTCCTCCTAAGCATTGATTCAGACAAGACAGACGAGTCTGAGCTTCAAAAAGCAGTGGAGAATGCATCAAAGCTGCTTCTCACAGAGTGTGGCACACGCGTAGCTGAATACACTAGCTACGCGGACACAAGCACGATCCCGGGCCACTACGTCTTGTACTGGGAGTTATTAGTGAGGGACGGGGCAAAGCAGCCGAGTGAGGAAACCCTGACTCGGTGCTGCCTCGAAATGGAAGAGTCGTTGAACTCGGTGTACCGACAATGCCGAGTTGCAGACAACTCGGTTGGACCGTTGGAGATCAGGGTGGTGAGAAATGGAACGTTCGAGGAGTTGATGGATTACGCCATCTCAAGAGGCGCGTCAATTAACCAGTACAAGGTACCAAGGTGCGTTAACTTCACACCCATTGTGGAGCTACTTGATTTTAGGGTTGTGTCGGCGCATTTTAGCCCAGCATTACCGCATTGGACGCCGGAGAGGAGGAGAAGATAAGGACAGGCCCATGTTTTTTCTCTGTGGAGATTCGTGAAGACAAAGGCTTTGAATTAATTAGCGCGTTGGTCTTGCTTGTAACATAATTAGATTCTTCTTTGGTGATTTAGTTTTTTCCTCTTTTTCTTTTTTCGTAGTGTTTCTTTCTTGAGTTTTTTTTCACTGTGGAATCTCTGCGTGTGTAATTTGTTTTTTTTCTTTAGTTGGGACAAAAAAAATCCTGACTAGGGTAGTTTTTATATTCCCAGGGACAATCTCCACTTTGATGGAAATCATTTAATCCGTAAATTTGTTGGAAGATTTTCGCTCATTGTTTGTTATTTACTTATTTTATGTTGAATCAGAGTGTTGATTAACAGTGGTAGGTTTTAGGAAATAAAGTCTTTTATTAATAGCGATAAAGCGAAGCGATTACAGAGAATGAGATAACTGAGAGGTTATGCTGAAATGAAAAAAATATTTGAGAGGTAAGCTAGAAAGCATTGGAGTCTCTAATTTTAGCTCTGCTGCTCTCTAGAATGTATGAGTTATGCTTCCAGGCTTCAGGGTCTCTGTACTTATAGGGATAGGAGGTCGGTTGTTCCGAACTTCTTTTCCTTTTTGTCTTTAATGAATATTTCCATATTTGTAATATGAAAATATCTCTTATTCTCCGAAGATTTATGGAAATTCTACTTTATCCTTCGAGCTGATCCGATGTTTCCGTTCTTCAAAGGTTATCTCCACGGAGTTTCCTTTAATCCGAACTAGGTCGGTGCGGTCTTCCTGATCTTGATGGGCTTAGGTTATTGTGAGGGAAGACCCTTTAGGAAATGTGCTCATTTCCCCTATAACAGTAAGTCCCCCCCTCCAGTTCGGCGAGACTAATTGTAAATCAGGCCGGTGGACTTCATAAAGTTATAAATGGGTTTGACTTTGCAATAGTTGTTAGCTCGTCGAGAGCGTTGTTTCGTGATGGCCAGCTCGGTCCGTTTTTAAGCGGATTTGCCGCGTGGCGCTTCCCAAGAATTATTTATTAAATATTTTGGCCCATGTTAGGGTTTTGCTCTCCAAGCGCCAAGATTGCAAAAACTCTGTCCTTTTAGGAAACTGTTGATATTTCCTTTTGATTTTATTACTTTATTTCTTCGTCTTCTTGCTCCAGATATCTTTTCGACTTCCTCGCTGATTTCTACAATAATCTTCTCTCCTTGCTGTAGCAATTCTTCCTTTTATTCGCCGATCTTCCTTTAATTTTTTGAAAACGATAGGGGGTTAAGGAAGAGAAGCAAAGTTCCCTTGCTGGATATTGAAATTCCCATTTTCTCTCCGTGTAAGAAACCTAGATCGGAAGGTCCATCGCAGGATCCTGCGAAGGAACAATCATCTCCGGAAATTCCAGCAGAAGGTTCGGGGGCCGAGTTGCCGATTAAGGAAGAAGGCTCTGTTTTCGCGATGGCTGAAGAGCAGGTTTCTAATCCGTCGGATCCGAAAAGCTTTTCACCAGAAAACTCGGAGGATACTGGTGAGGAGCCTGGCTTCAATCCTCACGAATTTCTGCTTCGTTGGGGCGGGGATTCTCTGGCAATATTCGAAGAGTACTTCGCGGCAAACTTAGCTTGGTTGTGTAGGGCGAAGCCTAACCAAGGGATGTCAGTAGGGAAATTGAAGCGGTTTTCTTGCTTTTTTGGGATGGCGCAACGTTTTATGCAGGGTTTAGGTTTATGTGCATCATTGGTCGAGTCATACGATAGAGAATCCGTTCGGGAAGAGAATAAAGCCGAGGAGTTGTTGGCAAAAGATCGAGGGCTTCGTGATGCTTTGGCGAGGATCAAGGATCTTGAGCGCGAGAAACTCAAGTTAGAGCTTGACTATAAGTCGCTTGAGATTGAATCTGCCAAAGAAAAAAGACTTCTCAAGGAAGATCTTGAGAAGAGGGTGGCTGAGGAGGTCAAGAACGCGGCTGCTAAGGAGAAAGAATTCTGTGATCACCAGCACATCTCAGTCGATCGCGTGGTGGATCTGGTGTATCAGCATCTCTGCGAGTGGTATGATCCTCGCATCGAGCGGATTAAGAGGTTCATGGCGCAATAGCCCGACATTCATCGACTGGAACTTTGGATTGTTGATGCCGAGGCGAAGGTCGATTGTTATAAGCAACTCAGATCGGTGGGACACGAGGTTCCGGTTGAAGAGCTCTTGCTTCATTCCGCCGCAGTCGATCGTTTGAAGATGGAGCGTCACATCATGAGGGATGTTCCACTTTCTTCAAATGACTTCGCCGCGCCTACGTGTGTTCATATGCGCCCTCCTGATGCCGAATTAGCAGCAGCAGGGATCCGGCTGCCGAGGCGGCGTAGGACTTTTTTGTTTTTTTTTTTGTTGTTGTTTCTGCTGTAAGACAAAAATATTTCTTTCATCAATAAATAAGTTTTACTATTTGGTTGCGTTTCGTACTCGTTTTAACGAGTCATACCTCAGTTCTAAGGTTTTTGTGAAGTCAAAAATTTCTTTTGTCTTGCGATGCGTGGGCATTTTTTAGGCCGGTGCTGGAAGCGAGATTCATTAGCTCGTCTTATACCAACCGACATTCAGGATCGAATACCAAGCTTTCAGGTTTCTCTTTGGCCCGATAGGTATGATCGAGAGTTGTGCGAGTATTGTCCTCGGCTTTCTTCTTATCCACTTCGGAAGTAATTAAATCAAACCAAAGTTTCAAAGGAGTGGTGATCAGCCACTTGTTTAATTTGCTTGCTTTCTTGAATCGAATGCTTTGCCAGAACATCGATTCAGCAAGGTACATTCACACAAGAAAATATGACTCTTTTTAACGAGCTGATTTCTTAAAGAAGCTTTGAATGCCAAGCTTGAAGATAATTTTATTAAGATAGTGACTGAACCCGAAGGCTGCCTACGTATCCGAAGTGGGGTCAAGTCATTCGTAGTTCTTAGTAGTACATTCTTTGCCGAGTTTACCGTTTTTAAGTATAATATTTCCTTAGATTCATAGAATTTCGAGCTCACTCGACTGGCTCTCCCTTCATGTCTTCTAGCCTGTAGACGCCGGGTTTGACGATTTCTGTAATACGATATGGTCCTTCCCAATTTGCCTCGAGTTTTAATGGGTTTATGTTCCTTTGCAAGACAAGGTCGTGAAGTGAGAATAGTCGGCTTCGGACTTTCTTATTGTAATACTTAGAAACTTGCTGCTGGTAATTTTGAATTCGTAAGAAGGCTTTGTCGCGAAGTTCTTCTGCGTTGTCGACTGCGTCAATCAGTTTTTCTTCGTTTAACTGAGGATCTTGAATCATCAAGGATTGCCGAGCGCTAGGTACATGCAGTTCGGCAGGTGCCAAAGCTTCACAGTCGTGGGATAGTGAAAAAGGGGTTTCTCCAGTTGCAGTTCGTGGAGTCGTTCGATGGGACCAAAGGATCCTGTCCAGTTCATCCGCCCATCGCCCTTATAGTTCATGTATCCATTTTTTAAGACCGTCAAGGATTGTTTTATTAGAGGCTTCTGCTTGCTCGTTGCCTTGTGGGTAGCATGGTGTCGAATAACTTATGCGTATTCCCCATTTATCACAAAAGCTTCGAAAAATTAACGAAGTGAATGGTGTGCCATTATCCATGACGATCTCATATGGCAGGCCGTGCCGACATATGACATATTCCCAAATGAAGAGTGGGCATTGATTCCCTTGAGGGTGGGGTATGATTTAGCCTCGACCCATTTTGTAAAGTAATCTGTCACCATCAAGATGTATTGATTGCGACCTGACTTGGGCATTGGGCCGATCGCGTCCATTGCCCATCTCATGAAAGGATATGGTGGAACGGCAGTCTGAAGTAATTCGGTAGATGCGTTGATGACTAGAGCGTACTTCTGACATTGTTCGCAGTCTTGGATCATCCTGAGCCAGAATAAGCCGTGTTTCTTGATTTTTAATCCTAATGCCCTTCCTCGTGAATGATTTCTGCCTGCCCCATCATGGGTTTCTATCATGACTCTTTTGGCCTGTGCCTCATCGCAGCATCGCAATATTACTTTATTCGCCGACCATCAGAAAAGGTTTCCTTCTTCCATGAAATATTGTGCTGCTTTTCTCCAGAGGCGTCTTGCTGCCCATCTGTCTTCCGGAACCGTCCCTTCTAACAGGTAAGACTTGATTTCGTCTTGCCAAGGCTGCTTTTGTTGTTCGGCATCTTCCTCCATTGGGTCGTTCACCTCGTCCTCTTGATGTAAGACCGCGTTGCAAGATCCCTTGAATAGCTGAATACTGGGTTGCTCGATGAGTTCTACTGGGATTGTTCGATGGAGCGCAGGATCCGTTGCGGATGTTAATGCCGCCAGTGCGTCGGCAGCGGTATTTTCAGCTCGCGGGATTTTAGTTAGTTCAAAGGAGTCAAATGTTTTGCTATTTCTTGGACCTGTTTAAGGTAGGCGTCCATTCGCTCGTTCTTCACATCGTAATCTCCCCTGAATTGGCTGGCGATGAGCTGGGAATCGCAGAAGGCGTGAACATGTTTTGTGTTTACTTCTTGGGCGAGTCGAAGTCCTGTCTGTAAAGCTTCGTACTCAGCTTCATTATTTCAGGCGGGGAAACTGAGTTTGAAAGATTGCTCGAGAATTTCTCCGGGGTGACTTTAAACAGATGCCGATTCGTGACCCCTGCGTTGAAGATGCACCGTCCACATAAATATTCTACCGGCTCTCTGCAGGCGACTCCCCATTTAGTAGATCTGGTGGTATCTCGATCATGAAATCTGCTAAAACTTGGAATTTGGCGCTAGTTCGAGCGTGGTATTCGATATCATATTCTGATTACCGCATAAGCGAGTTTTTCCAAGGCTGGATAGCGAGTTTTGGCTCCATCCAAAGTCTTGCTTATGTAGAAAATCGGCTTTTGCTCGCCGCGGTCTTCCCTAACAAGGACGCCGCTTACTGCCACTGTCGAGACTGCAATGTAGAGGCATAAAATCTCGCCAGGTTTTGCTAATATTGACGGGGTGGTTAGATA